GGGATGGGGTTGGGACAGCCCCCTGGCAAGCTGTGGTGCTCTGGGGCTACCCTGCCAGTCTCTGGACCAGGGAATAAAAAGTCTGGAAATGGAGGCTGTGGGCCCTGGGCACTGCAGCTCCCACTCCTCAGTGTGGGGCTCTGGGCAGTGGGGTCTTTGTGGCAGAAGCAGGAGCACCAGCACCAGACCCAGCCCATCACTGCTGCGTGGCACTGACAACCCACAGCAAGGGCGGAGCTCTGACCAACACAAATGCCACAGGTTTGTTCCTAGCTGAACCAGCAACTCATCCTCCAGGCAGGTTCCATGTGCTGGTGGTTTAACAGGAGAAGCCTGGAGCAAAGGCATAAAGTAAGAAATATTTAATTCCACAGTGCTGGTATGTTTTCCACTTAACAAATATTTTAGGCACATGTGCTCCAAAAATGGGCTCTGTCTCCTGCAGGTTTGTGTGCCTGTGCTCCCCCACATGAGGCTGCCCCCAATACCCCTTCTCCAGCAGCTTCTGCCCAGTGGCACCATTCCAGCATGGGCTCTCCCCACTCCCTGGGCCAGTCCTGCTTGCTGGGGCCCCTGGGAGAGCCCAGGGATGTGCACCCAGGGCTGGGGTTGGGAGAGGGGAACCACCGAGCTCCTCCCTGCCAGTCCCTGTGCACGGCAGGGCTCTGTGCAGGGGGGGCTGTCACAGCCACATCTCAGCCCCATCACCAGCTTGGCCCCAGCACCTGCTCCATCCCCACCCTCTCCAGGGCACTGGTGGGGCAAGAGCACCTGGACATAGCTGGCACTCAGAGATGTCCAGAACCCCTGTGGCCATCCAGGACTGGGAAAAGGGCAGACTGGCACATGCAGTGTCCTGGGTAATGGAACATCATCCAGGGGCTGGCAGCAGGGTGCTCAGTATTTATGTGTACAGATGTTTTTGGATGGAGCTTTAGCACCCCCTGTGCCTGGCCACCCCACAGGCCCTCCAGTCTGGGCTGAGCCCAGCACAAGGAAAGCTGCTGCTGGGTAGTACCACAAATCCCCTCTGCTCTGTGCATGCATGGCCATATGTTTTGCTAGGTTTGGGGAACACTGTGATGGCCAGCAAGAAGATCCCAGGGCTGTCCTCACCTTATGGCCTCCCTCAAACACAGACATACCCAGCAATGTATATATATTATATTATATTTTTATATTTATATTTTTATATTTATATTTATATATATATATATATATATATACATGTTAACAAAGAAGTTGCAAAAAAACCAACAAAAAGGGAAAAACCCAAGAGGAAGAACAGCCCTCCCCCAAGTAAAATGGAAGCAGGAATGTTACACGTGGAAGGGGAGGCTGAGGGGAGCCAGGAGTCCACACATCCCGAACTTGAACACGGGTGTCACCAGGCGCAGAGGAACCAGCAGCAGCACTCTGGACCCCCTCCATGTCCTCAGCAGGGCCCAGGGATGGGGCTGCTGCTCCCCAAATCATGGTGACAATTGGGTGGGCTCTGCTTTCAGTACCACAAGAGGACAATGTGGGTGACTGGGAAAGGCCGCCAAGCTCCTGCTCGGGGTGTGGGGCTCCCCCAGTCCCCATCTGGCCGGGTGTGAGACATGTGTGGGGGCCAGGGGGTCCCACAATTAGTGCAATTTCATCAGGTGCAAATGTCACATTAAGGGCTCATGGTCTCTGAGCTGCGGATGCTCCCTGAGCCCATCCCAGCAGCGCTGGCGCCACCCTCGGCATTGCCAGGGCCACCATCCCCCTGCAGGGCCTGGCATCCCTCTGGGCTGGCACAGGCTGAGCAGCCCCATGGGACCGGCACATGCGGAAGGGACTTCCATGAGACCTTCCCATGAAAAACATCCAACTTAAAAGGGTGATTTAACCTCCCAAAGTGAAAGGGGTCTTGAGCCAGGCTGTGGGGATGGCAGGCCTGCCCCTGCAGCACCCTCCCTGAGCTCCTGCACTCCGGGGCTGGGAGAAGCAAACGGAGCTGCTCCTCTGCTCAAGAGGAGTCAAGAAGGAGGGGTGTATCCCCTGTGCCTGCCCTGCCAGGCACCATGGGGAAGCAGCCTGGATCAGAGGGAAAGCCCTCTCAGCTTGGCAGGGCCGGCAGCAGATCCTTCCCCGAGGTGCTGCCCACCTCCCTTTTCCAAAAACCACAGTCCAGACACACAGAGAGATGGCACGCTAGGGAACACTCTCCTCCTGGGCAAAGCTGTCACCACCAGACTCACCAACACGCATCCTCTTGGCCAGGTCACTGGGAGGGGTCACCAGATGAATTCTGAACTGGCTCCAGATGAATTCAACCTGTCTCTGGCACAGCTCCCATGGGATGAGCCCCAAGAGCCCTGTCCAAACCAGCCACTCATCCCCTGAGCCTGGGCTTTAGAATCACAGGATAGGCTGAGTTGGAAGGGGCCCATCAGAATCATTGAGTTGAACTCCTGGCCCTGCACAGGACACCCCAACTATCCCACCCTGTGTTTGGAAACATTGTTCAAATGCCCCTTGACCTCTGGCAGCCTTGGGGCCATGACCATTCCCTGGGGAGACTGTGCAGTGCCTGACCACCCCCTGAGAGAAAAACCTTTTCCTGGCATCCAGCCTAATCCTCCCTGACTCAGCTCCAGCCGTTTCCTTCAGTCCTGTCACTGGTCACAAGAATGAAGAGATGGGTACCTGCCCTTCCACTCCCCCTTGGGAGGAGTTGAAGATGACAAAGAGGCCTCCCCTCTCTTCTTCTCCAGCTGAACAAACCAAGTCACCTCAGCCACTCCTCACAAGACCCCTCCAGACCCTTCTCCATCCTCACAGGCCTTCTTTGTTCACTCTCTAATAGCTTCATGCCTTTTTTATATTGTGGTGTACAAAACTCCCCTCAGGGCTCAAGGTGAGGCTGCCTCAGCCCAGAGCAGAACATGACAATCCCCTCCCTGATCCAGCTGGCCTGATGCCCCCAGAACAGGGATTTCCCTCCTGGCCGACTGAGATCCAACTGGACCAGGTACCCCAGGGCCCTTCCACAGCTGCTCCACAGCCTCTCTTTCCCCAGTTCATACACATGATCAGGGTGGCCCCATCCCAGGCACAGAATTTATCACCTTCCCTTGTTAAACTTCACCTGGTTGGTGATTCCCCATCTATCTAATTTGTCTGTGTCTCTCTGCAGGGCCTCTCTGCCCTTGAGAGCATTGACAGCTCCTCCCAGCTTAGTGCTCCCAGCAAATTGACCTAGTATCCCTTCCAGTCCTGCAGGTTGTTAATGAAAATGTTGAAGAGCACAGGGCCGAGGATGGAGCACTTCAGAACCCCAAAAGTGACTAGTGCCAGCCCGATGTCACTCTTTGTGCCTGACTCATGAGCCAGTTACTCAGCCACCCCATGATGTGTTTATCCAGCTGTGGGCTGGACATTTTGTCCAGAAGGATCCTGTCAGAGACTGCTAAAGCCTGCTAAAGTCCAAAAAGATTGCAACTCATGGCTACCCTGGATCAATCAGGTGGGTTACCCTGTTGTAGAAGAAAACAGAAGCAGGGGTAGTTCCCCATCAGCAAGCTCCACAGGGAGAGGCTGGCAGAGCTGGGTGGTCTCAGCTCAGTGGTTCCCACTCCCACCGAGGCACCACATCTAGAGGAGGAAAAGGGGCTTCAAATGTCAGAAGCGAAGCCCAAGCACCAGCTGCCTTGGGCCACCATAATGCCTGAAATCCCTGCTCCACAATGTCCCAGACACTCACATGCCCACTGGCCCCAAACTGTGCCACAGACCCCCATGGTGGCAACAGGGATTGTGTGCCAGCCCAGCTCCTCTTGGCCTCTTAAATAAATCTGGAGACTGGAGCTGGGAATACTGGAGACAGCCAAAGAGCTCCCAGTAACCAGGGTCTCTGAGCCTCTGGGACAGACTCAGTCCTCTGCCATGGAATAAACAGTATGGCTCCACACTCACACCACCACAGAATCATGGAATAGTTTGGGCTGGAAGGGATCTTTAAAACGCACCCAGTCCAATCCCCTGGCATGGTGGAGAACAAACCAGAAGTCAAGATTCAGTGTCATTAATTGAGATTTTGGGTCACAGAGCATAGAGGTATTCTTTGAGCAGGACTCTACTGTCGGCTTAGAGTAGGAAGATGAGTTTTTGCTGCTGGGACACCAGACAGGGCACTGGAGACCTATGTGGAGCAGGGCACTGCTGGCCAGACACTGTGTTGGGAAGGAGCAGCTGCCAAACCTCTGTGCCAGGGGCCAAAGCTTCTCAAGGATGCAGGCCTCCCTGGATACTGGGAAGCTCTCAAAGGAGGAGATGGTGGGCTGGGGGTCCGTGGCTCTCCACTGCAGGACCCCGAAAATTATCAGGAGCATGTCATCTGCAGCACAGCCAGCCACCGGGAACACCCTCAGTGCCATCTTCACTCCCACAGAGCACCACCCTCCCTCCACAGGGCCACCATCCACCACACAGCCACTGCCAGCACTCACCAAGTGCTCCAAGCCTTATCCATCCCACCAGGGAAGCTACCGAGCCTCAGCCACATGGAAAGTCCTCCCCGGAAAGTGCTGCTCAGTGCTCTGGGTCCCTACACCAGCTGTCAGCGGGCCCCAGAGCCCATCCCTCCTGTCCCAATCTGTGCCTCGTGGTATGCACGAGCCATTCCCTGACCACCATGGCACCTCAGGTCACCCTGAAACCTGCCCTGGCCTTTCCAGCCCCGCAAGGGAAGACAGAACCATCCAGGTGACAATCTTCTTGGGGAGAGATGGGAGCAACTGCCAAAGAGCTGCTCCAGCCACTCTTGCACACCTTGGAGCTCACCAAAAGCAGTTCATTTCCAGCTGTGGTTTGAGGTTCTTCCACTTTTTCCATTAAAGTAAGATGGAACTGGGTGTGGATGGTGCTCAACTGCTCAGGCGCCACAGTGGCTCTCTGGCACGACTGCCAGTGGGCAGCTCTGGCCAACTTCACCCACCAGCATGGCCAGTGCTGCCATGGGGCACGGGCAGGCCTGGGCAGCCTAGTGACAGGCTTTCATTCCTGACACGTATGGGGACTCCTGGGGCCGGCAGTTACACTCCTGCTGCTCGGGGTAATCGATGAAATCTGGGGCAGGCAGCCCCGAGAGGATCATCAGGGATTTGTTCCAGATGGTGAAGGTGGGACACACTGGCAGGATGAATGAGACTTCAAAGGTGTGGAGGTGGAGAGAGTTGGCTGGGTCGTAGAAGGAGAGGGCGTTGTTGTCGTAGTCCAGGAGGACACCGAGGCGCTTCATCTGTGGGTGCACCTCCACCAGCATCTCCTTGTTGTTGTGCCGCACCACAAAGTTGTTGTTGCAGCGGGAGAAGACCCAAGAAGAGGAGTTCTTCCCAATCCACTCATTTTTGGGGGCTGACTTGTAAGCCACGCCAATAGCATACCTGCAGGAGAGGAGAAGCTGTGCTCAGCATCCTCCAGCCTCGGCCCAGCACCAAGCCCAGCCCTGATGGCTACAGCACCCTGTGCTTTCAGAGCCCACCTGCTGTAAAGGGGCACAGGGTGGGCATCTCTGGCAAAGGCTGGACCGGGAAAGCATCCCCCCCCCACACAGGTGGTGCCTTACCAGGTGGAGGATCCTACCACCACTTCCCAGTAGTGGCAGCCGCTGTCGATGAAGATGTTGCCGGCCACACCGTAGCAGCCTGTCCCACTGAACCGCTCTGGCGTGTGGCTCTTCTTCAAGGAGCTCTCGTCCTTCTCCATCTGCAGCCCGTCATTGGAGATCTTCAGCTTCTTGTGAGCCATCTTGGGGTCCAGCTTGAATGGCTGACCTGTAGGGAGGAGACACAAGGATTAGGATTTGTGTTATTAGCATCATGGTGCAGGAATCGGGCTTCTTCACATCACATGTTCTCAGCTTTGCATATTTAATGGTGGTTTGCTTGGATGTTTTCCCCAAAACCAGACCAGATCTGGGTGATGTCCCAGAGCTTCAACCAGACTCCTTTTTTGTTCATGATTTCCCTCTGAAAGTCGTCAGTCTATCCCTGAATTTGCAAACAAAACCCCAAGATGCTACAAAGAAGTAAATTGAGTTCAGGTGGGTTTTGCTGCTGTGGTTTCATGTGAGATGCAGTAAAGTGCACACAGGCACCAGACAGCATTTCCATAGGGATTCACCTGCTTCAGGACAAAGAAAATGACAGCTGCAGAGAACACCCCAAATTCTACCAATATCTTCAGCCTCATGTTTTGGTACCCAGCTTGGGGCATGACTAGCTGTGTCCTTCATGCTCTCATTTTTGGCTGCAGACACAGAGTCCCAGCAAGAAGAAACAATGACACCACCACATCAATGGGGTCCTGAGCCTGGGCTGGGGACCCCCAGAACAGCCTGAAAACCCTGGAAAGCCAGGAAACACACAAGGAGAACACCAGGACACCTGGGAATGTCTGCAAAGAGCTGCAACATCAGCAATCATTGTAGCTGCAGAGCGGAGCTCATCTGCGCTGTGCTCTGTAACCTGATGGTAGCTTGTGCTGGTTTTCCTTGGAGCCCAATTTGCTGAATAATTGAGTTGAGAAGCCTGAAAGTAAAACTGCAAATTGGGAGTGACCTGCCCCCTCCTTCTTTTGGCTGCTCTGATCTTTCTGCTGTATCTTTTCCTGGCAGTAATGCAAAGAGACAAGCTCTGAGGAAGTGAGGTATAAAAATACTTGGCTCCATCAGGACAGAGACACTCACAGCTCTGTTTCCGAAGGCAACCTCTTGCTAAGGTCAGTGTGAAGAAGTGGAGCCCAGCCCTTATCACTGGTTTCTGCTGGCATGTCCTGGAGCAAGTGCTTGAGGTGCATGCACTGGCAGTGAGTATGATGGGCAGTCTTGGAGGGGTCGGAGGGTATTTCAGAGAACACAGCCAGGCACCTGCTATCCTTCCCAAAATATCACTCTGGCACTGGGAAAAAATATAGACTTCACAGAGGTCATAACAGTCCCAACCTCAGCCCCCCAGCGTGGGAGCTGCCAAAGGAAGGGGGGTTCTGACTGTAGCCTTCACTCTCTGCTCCCCCACCACCAGCAGCCTCTGTGCCTCCCAGTCACTGTTCTCCAGCCCTGCCCTGCAGAGAGCCAAGGCTTGCAATGATTCCTCTCATCACTGATGATTCCTCTCATCATTAATGTTTCGTCTCATCATTAACATGTAGCTCCTGGGCCGGTCACTCAGATTACCTTTATCCCACAAATTCAGCTTGCTGGGATATTCCTGATAGCCTTTTGCTGTCATCCCTGCATGAGGCTCGGGAGTTGTGGGGAAGCAGCTGCCTTCAGGGCTGGACACAGCCGGCTGCACCCCTGGAGCATTTATCAGCTGGATTAGCCCTCCCTTCCCAGCAGAGCCAGAGTGAGCAGAGCAGAGCAGAGGAAATCCTGTCTGGCACTGAGTGTGAGGGAGCAAAGAGGAGGCAGCCAGGAACATGGTCAAGGTCAGTGGAATGCAGGGATGGAGCCAGGCAGAGGGAGGTGTGTGCTGGAGCTCCATCCCCACCCTGCAGGACCCCAGACACCCACCCTGCTCCCCTGGACCTCCCAGGGCTCCTGCACCCATCACAGTGAGCAGGGGCTTAGGACACTCCTGTCACCCACCCAGAGGAACAGCGAGGACAGGCTGCCTGCTGCTTTACATAACAGCTACAGAAATAACTGGAATGAGATCCCCAGGAGCAGGAGACGACATTCAACACTCAGCCAAATCCAGGCCCAGCAGCCCAGCCCAGGGGGGGGGTCAGTGCAGGGGTGCCACTGGTGCCCTGCAGCACAGCAGCTCCTCTGTGCCCCACTCCTCTGGCTGCAGAGAGGGTGGACAGCTGGTGACTGCGTTTGGCTGAAAATGTGTGGAGAGAAAGGAGGGATGGATATGAACTCTGCACCCAAGTACTCTGCTGCAGGTACCCACCACATTCTGCCCAGAGAGCAAAGAAAGCAGCAGGGACACAGGAACACAAAGGCAGCTCTTCCTGCATTCTGTGCCTCCTCTCTGCCTGTAATGGCAGTGGCAGTGTCCCTACACCCACCAGCTATCTAAGATGCCACATGTGGGGCACAGGACACCCACAGAGCAGAGCTGCCAGCACCATCCTATCCTCCCTGAAGACATCGCCTTCAGCAAAGAAAGAAACAAAGATGCTGAGTCATCAAGTCATAGGAAAACCATAAATACATCTTAATTTTCAGATTCCCTCCTGGGAAGTTTTTGCAGGGATCATCCTGTCCTTAAAAACACCTGCACTGACATGATTCAGTCAGTAATAGGGACCTTGCAGCCCATTGCTCAGGCAGCAAACACACTCCTGACATCTCACATGGGATGTGAAGGGAGCCATCCTGTAGCACATTAAGGTCTTGCCAAGATATGCAGAAATTAAGAAAAGCCAGAATTGCGAGGGAAAATAAGGCCAGGATGCAGTGGCCAAGGCAAGGGCTGGAAAACCCATTTCTCTGCATTTTATTTATGTCCAGAGCTGGGCCTGTCCCTGCATTCCAGCATTTTCAGCTACTTTTGGACACTTGCTCCTAAATAAGTCCTGCTCAGGCCCAGCCTCAGCAGAAGACGGTCTCTCTGTCACTACACCAAACATGTCCTCCCAAGCTGCTCTGTTCAGGAATGCAGATTTAGTGCCAGCACTGACAGCGCTGATGCTGCAGAAATCGATGTGTCCTGACACTGACCTTCTGGCCATGGAGAGATCTCTCCAGACATCCCTTCAGGAACAGAACAGGCTGTGAAATATGTTAATGGGCCGTTTCTGTGTTGAGCTGCTGACACTTCCACTGAGGTTTCAGTGGGAAAGCATGGCTGTGATATCCTCTGGATATTGTCCACTGCAAAAGGGGAAGCCCTGGTAGCAAATACCAGCAGGAGGAAAAGCCAGTGGGGGTATGCTGGGGCTGCAGCACCACTAGACACCCAAAGGAGCCCTTGTCACCTGAGGATGGCCACAGAAGGAGAAAAATCAATATATATGGCTAAATCAAACTTTCAGGAATTCAGAAGTTTCCACAAACACAGATGGCAAAGGAACACCAAACTGGTGGCAGAGAGGGATGTGCCCATCAATGCCACATGCCTCTCCTCCCCAACACCTGAGTGGGAAGCGAGGTCCTTGTGGAAGGGGCTTTAGCACCCCCACAATCACACATAACCTGTGCAGTGTCTCATGTGGGGCTGCTCCAGGTTTCAAACATGCAGAAGCTGCTGCAGACACATCCCTGCAGCAAGGGGGGCTCAACACCTGACAGGACTCTGACTGAACCCAGTCCATCCCCAAGCAGGAGCGCTCAGAGCTGTGCTGGCAGCTCGGTGACTGGCACTGGGCTAGATCAGAGAGACCAGACCCTGTCCTATGGGAGCTGCCACCACGGCCACCCGCCCTTGCTCCCAGCTTCCCAAGCCGCCCATCCCTCACTCCCAGAGCGAGCGCCTTTCAAAGCCAGGGAAGCACTGAGAAACAGCAGCTGCAGGAGGGATAAATTTTTAATGAACAGGCAGATTGGGATGAAGTTTGCTCTTCAGCAGCTCCCTCAGCTCCACTGCCTCAATGTTGTTTTATTCAGTTTAATGTCGCGCAAAGAAAAGCAGGAGGTAGAGGTGATAAATCATCATGAAAGCCTTGCTCAGGCAGAAGCAACTGTTGGGAGAGGGACAGATGGGAGGGCTGTGCTCACCAGGACCACAAAGAGACATGCAAGCACTGGGAAGGCACGAGCACAGGGCAGGCAGCCTGGAGAGACAACTTATTCCTCTCCCAACATCTCACACTGTCCCTCCCGCGTGACCCTTCAGGGCATGGGTGCCACTGCTTCTGCTGTCTTTCAATGGAAAAAGGTTTCCTACCACAAACCCTGGAGCTCTGTCTGTTACAGCACAGACAGGTCTAGCTCCACTGCTGTCAGAGCTCAGCTCTCCCTAAACACATTTAACCTTCCTTGGCATCCCCAGGGCACTGGAAAGAAAAATCTTCTGCTTTGTGTGTGGCTGCAAAGTCCCCATCCACCACCACGGAGACACTTTTCAATCTTATGGCTTTCCAAACCACAACCCTCTGCAAGCTAAGCCACACACAAGAACACAGTTGCTCTGTGCCCCTTGCATTGGCCCCAAAAAGCCCAGGAATGCAAAGCCACCAGAAGAGTGGACCATTATGACCTAAGACCCCAGGGATGGGTGCTGACTAGAGCAGAGGGCTGATGGGAGCCCCTGGCATCACATGGGGTATCAGGAGACCATCCCTGAGGTAGGGAAGGAACAGAAGCACCAAGGGAGATGGGCACTCCAGTGATTTAACAACACAGTGTTTCCATCCCGCTGCCAGCCACTGCCCGCTCACTGGGAACACCCAGCCATACCCCAGGCACCCCCGTGCCCTGGAAACTCTCCTCCCCCACCTGGCATGGCCAGCTGAGTGCCTGGGCACCTACTGTTGGTCTTGAGGCGGGCAGGCTCACTGTTCCTGCTGCCTGCCTGGTTGATGGCTTTCACCAGGAAGATGTAGCGGGTGCCACTCTGCAGCCCGTGCACTGTGTAGTGGTTCTGCTTGATGTTGGGGACGATCATCCAGCTGTCCATGGAGTTGTAGAGACCTGCAGTCAAGAGAGGGGCAGAGATTTATTCCCAGGGAAGGACAGAATACAAAGCTTTTGTACTGCTAATGCAGAGCTCATGACCATGTGTCCCTCGGAAGGATTTACCACCTGCCTGGGAGTTCAGAGTGGCAGGGAAATTTCCAGAGATGATAAATCCCAGCAACACAGAATCTCTTCCATTATCACACAAAGGCAGGACCAGGGCTGCAGCACTGGCATCTTGGGATGCTGCCATGGGAAGTGATGGGGAAAGGGTGCAGACAAAGGGAAATGCAGCCAGCAGCACCTTCCAGCCAGGGCAGCTGGCAGATGAAGCCGTTGGTGCCTGGGAGGGGGTGATGGCCACCATCCTCCCACCACCATCCCACCATCACTCTGTCCCACAGGACAGCCTCCCTCCTGCTCAGTATGCAATTCCAGCAGCAGAAAGGGATGCATTTGCACCCAAATCAATGTGTTTGCAACTAAATCTTGCTCCTGCCCCGTCTGCAGTGCTCCAGTGTGGGAAGTAATAATCCATGGCTAAGGGAGGCTGATGCTTGGCTCCCTGAATAGACTGATCTGCAGAGTGGTTCAAAGAAAATGAGCTCCCAGTGAAGGGATCCAGACATTTGGAAACCATTCAGCAGGCTGAACTCTTTCTGGAAATGGGAAGGAATGAAGAATCCAAGACCACGGAGGTGCCAAATTGACTGCTGCAGTGATTTGCAGTGTCAGAGCTACAGGGCCTGGCATGTGTGGAAATGTAGTGCTGTACCTCAGGTGGGGTGGCACAGTGCTCCAGGAAAGGGGAAAAGCCTTACATAGTGCCACAGGCTGCTCCTGCCATCGGCATCACTGGGATGAGGATCACCTGCAGCTGGCACGAGCACTTGAGTAGCTGAACTGGGGGACAAAGATGCTCTGGGGCTCAGGGGAAACCAGGACAGCTATCACAGCACAGGGGTAGGGCTTTGAGCCAAAAGGAATAAGGAAGCATGGAAGAAGTAGCTGGAGGCTTCCTAGATCTGGTGAGAGGTAAGGAGTGCATTGTGAATTTGGGGTGACTGGAGAGGGGGTTTCAACATGTGCAGGGCTGGGAGGCAGGAGCTGGGAATGCTCCATACCTTTTTTGCAATGGCTTCAAATTCATTTATCTTCAGTGGCTGGCTCAGCCGCAGGACAAGGGCAGGTTGCAGTCCCTGTCATCCTGAATTTGGTTTGGGATACACATGGGAATGGCCGAGGGGCACAGAGGAGTGTGATGTGAAGTAGAAAATAAAACAGATGTGATCCTGATTGCAGCCTGCACGCGGAGCTGCTCCCGTTGGAGCGCACAGCTTCCAGCCCGGCCCGGTTGGTGTCACCTTCCTGCAGGAAGAACCAGCTGGGGATGCTCCATCAGGAAGAACAAGGTGGCTAAGATACGACAACGAGAAGGACTTGACTTCCAAGTAGGTTTCTTTTGCAAAACGACCTCAAAGAGCTTGGCCTTGAAGACTAACCTCCTCGCTCCTATCCTCGCCAAAGCTTTAAAAAATCCCTTTTATTGTAGCATTTATCCTCTACAAAAATGTCTGGCTCTTGCCAAACTCTTGGCTTTGATGGAAGTGTGAAGGGGATGGGTTCCACAGGCCAGCACTGCACACCTTGGAAAGGTATTTCCTCTCCTGGTCAGGGTCCCAGGCCCTGTTCAGTGTTCCAGTGTCTTTTCACATGAGTTCAGCCAGTGCTCACACAGTGCCATGACCCAAACTGTGCTATTGCGAGGGACAGTAAGTTATTCATTTTCTTCTCAGGGATTTAACTCATGTTTTCTTCACTCGTCCTACACAGAGCAACCTGGAGGTTGCTGGCTGGCCAAGGAGGACACTTCTGACATGTGACCCTCTGGGCTCTACTCCAGCACTGCCCTCACTGTTCCTCACTCTCATGGTCTCCACAGCTCCTCCTTTCCCAATGCCTGTGCCCCACCTGCCAGAGGTGGGCAGGTGACTCCTTCCCAAGTCCCTTGGTGTATGGGACTCCAAGCCACATGTGTCCAAAGTGGCATGTGGGAAAAGGTGAGAGTAGATCCTTCCCTGGCATCATCCCAGGCAAGGGCACAAGCTGCAGCAGAGGAAATCCTGAGTGGAAAAGGGCAAAATCCTCCTAACTGAGGGTGAGGAAGCACTGGATGCTCCATCCCTGAACAGTCCTTCCTCAAGGAGCAAGCCCTGAGCAACCTGTCAGCCCAAAGTGCACAGAGCTAGCACAGGGACCTTGAGACATCCCTCTCTACCAAAACCACATGGTGACACCAGCAAGTCCCCATCCTGTCCACAGCTGGAAGTGCAGGGGACATGGAGCTGGTGGCCATCCAAGAGCAGAGCCAGAGAGGTGGCTGAGCTCTCCAGGCTTCCAGAGGACAAAGTGCTGGAGACAACGTGCTCTACCTGGGAAGGAGAGGAGAGCCAAGCAGGGCGGGTCTGGCTGTGGCAGCACCAGCACACAACAGCCACCACGGAAAGGAAATGCATCATCTTGTTTTCCAAAACAAGGACAAAGGCTGGGCCAGGGCTGGGGAGGTGAGATCCAGCTTGGAAAGTCACAGGGAACTTTCTCAGTCAGCTTCCTGCACAGTTCAGAGTGCACTGAACAGCCTTCCGGAGCCGTGACACCGTGCTGCCGGTGCCAACATCTTTCCAGCCAGTGGGACAGACTGACGGCAGCCCAAACACCCACTCTGAGGCACCTTGTCAGCACTTCTCACAATGGCAAGTGCTGCTAGGAAAACCAAGAATAAAACTTTCTCACAAGCCACAGACCATCAGTGATTCTGTCTTCAGTCCTCAAATCAAATCCCATTCCTGTGAGACAAATCTGTGGTGCTGTGGAAAAACAACTAGGTATGGCAGTAATTTTAATGAAAAATTACCTGGAAATATGGCTCAGAGCTGTTCCAGAGGGTTTATAAACCACCATAGTTATCAGCCATGGAGCAGCCAGCGCTGCCCTGCGTACGATCCCAGGTATCCACGGATCTGGGAGCTGTGAGATGGACAGGAGCCTCCAATGTTCCTGATGATTCACCAAGTTGGGGCCGATGACACCAAGTGCAGACCAGAGCACTTCAGGGATGGCCCCCACAACATGAGGAGGTGTCTATTGCTCTGATCCACTAGGCCTTGGTAGATCCTTTGCTGCTCCTCCATAAATACCCAGCCTTTAAAACCACTGATGAAACTGAGAACCTTTTCCTTACAGAATCCCAGAATGCTCTGGGTTGGAAGGGACCTAAAAGCTCATCCAGTGACACCCCTTGCCATGGGCAGGGACACCCTCAACTATCCCAGGTTGCTCCAACCTGGCCTCAGACACTTCCAAGGATGGAGCAGCTGGAGATTGTGTGGGCAACATGGGACTCCTTGCTGAAGGGAAGTGTGGTGACTTACTGATGAAGTTGGCCTGGCCGGTGAAGATGGTGTACTGGAGCTCGTAGGAGCTGACACTGAACTCATCCTCTGACATCCAGTGCACGGTGATGGTGTCATGGGAGGCTGTGCAGAGCTCCTCACGGACTGACGGGGGGTTCGGTGCTGTGGGATGGCACAGACCACAGACTTTGGTCAGTTTGGGCTTTCCTTCCTTAAAAACCCAGGCCTTTTCCACTCATGTTAGGACTGAGATGGGCTTGTGGCAGTAGTACTATCAACACCAAAACCTCTCTCATTTAATCTGTCATTGTGTTTCCCACTGAACTGAACCTTTTAGTTTAACAAGGCATCCAGAGGTCAGAGCACAGGGTTTTCACTGCTGCTCCATCAGGTCTGACACCCCCACCCTGAAACAGGCTGAGAACCCACTTCCAAATCTACTTATTTCCCTGCCCTGGTTGTGGAGTAAGTATTTCATCCCATAACTGATCTGGACACGCTTGTGCTAATCTTTCACTGAAAGCTGATCTGCTTCATGATGATAAAATCGGATTTGGGTGAGTGAAGATGTCCTTGCCTCCCTTGCCTCATCCCTCCAGTGCTCCAGCACAGGCTGATCCAGCAGCCGTTGCTGCTCCCAGACCACTGAGGGCAGCAACCAGTCTGTGCTGGGGCATCAGGGCAGCCCTGAGGGGCCCACTGAAGTCCCACCCAGAAGGGTTCATAATTTAGAAGCAAGTGACCCAGAAAAAGGGCAGGAAAACAGAAATGTTAAAGCACAGAGTGCCATAGAAGTATAATAATTAGTTAATTCATCATTCCTCCCCTGTAATCCTTATGGACCCTCATATAATCCTTATCCTTCTTGCATCCTTATGGACATCAGCCTCCCCCACCAGGTCATGGAGACCATAATTTTTAAGCTTTCTGGTCTTTTCCATGGGTCCTCCAGGAACAGCAGGGTGAAACAGAGGGATGGGGACCTATCACTGTCCTGGGGACAGCACAGGCCCTGCTCTGCCACAGATGACCTGGTGCTTGTTACTGGTTAAGTCCTAAAATAGGTCTGCCAGCCCTTGGCGGAGCACAGGGCAGGGACTGAGGGGAAGATACAGAGTGGAGCACACCTGAGCACTCACCTGTTAGATAATCCAGCCCCTCCAGCAGCTTCTTCTCTCTGGAAAAATCTAAAGCAAAGTTTTCAAAGGCATCATTAAAATTGATATCTGGTATCAGGACTTGAGAGGATGCAGTTGCCATGGCGACCCTGGAAGGAAAGAGGGGACCATCAGTATGCAACAGGGTGCATGAGGGAGACACAGGGATGGAGACAGCCTCACTGTGCCTCACCTGCTATCAGGAAAACAGCTTGCACCTACAGACCACTGCCCCTACCCAGGAGGGTGGCCTAGCCTGGGGTTGCCTGAGAGTGGGAGGGCTCCACCCCTGGGGTTTACAGCTTTGACTGGCCCCTGAACTCCCTTTGGACTGGCATTTCCACCACTTTCCTACCCCAGGGAAGGGGGCTTGCTTCCACAGCATTGTTAGGACCTGCCATGCAGCCCAGTCCTGTGAGGGATGGGAACCTGATTACACAGTGGGAGGTAGCAGGGATGGCTGGGGATCTCCAGGGAAGTGACTGGAGGGGACTTGGGTCACCTCTGGGCAGGGACCTGCAATGGGGGCCACCTCCAGCAGCAATGTCCTGAGCCCAGCCCACCTCTCGGCCACGTTCCTGGCAGTCTGCAGGAACCGAGCGTGGTCGTTCTCCTTCAGGATGTGCTCGGCCTGGTTGATGAGGACTGTGGAGCGCTCCAGGCACTGCCGGCAGTTGGCAACCTGCTGGGCCAGCTTCCGCAGCTTCATCACCTGCCGAGAGCAGAGGGGACAGCGCGGCTCAGGAGCCTGAGAGGCACAGAGGGAAACCCTGAGCCAGCAGCTGATCATAGCGAGCAAGGAGCTGTGAAAGGGCACGGGAATGTCCCAATGGCTCTGGGGAGGGAGCTCAGCAAAGCACTTTCCACGTGAATTTTGCTGGGGGTGGGAAAGCCCCAGGGCACAGACTGTGCTTGCTCTGAGGGTCCCATATATGCTGGACCCTGGAGAACAATGCATCCTCTCTCCACTCCTCCCATGCAAATACCATGTCCCCTCATGCCAGCCCAAGGAGAGCAGGCTGCCATGAGACTCCTCTCAGTCATTCAGCACAAGGCAAGGGAACCTCAGGAATGGGGGAAGTGTTTACAGAGCTGATGGAAGAGATCACATTCACAAGTGCTGAACTGAACTGCTGGGTGACCAAGGTATGAGAGAATCTGCATATTTTCCCCCTCCCTTCTTCCAGGCTCCTTACATGTGTTGGGCCATTTGTCAGGCAAAGCAGGGCAGAACAAATGGAAAACCAAATGGCAATCCATCAGGAAAGCAGAATTCCTCGCTCCTCAACTGGAGGAATTCTGAACCAGCCACAGCCTCTAGAGGTTGCCCCTTTCTCCACTGCTTCTGCGGAGCACTAATCTGTGCCCTTCACCTCTACCCAGCTGCCAATTGTAGGAAGACAACATCTTGGAGCTTCCAGGTCTTTCTAAGCATGGCTGGAACTGGACAGCAGAGTCTGGAAGAGTCAAGGAAGAGGGTGGGAAGAGCAAGCAGACAGACAGATGGACCGGCAGACGGCACCGTTACATAAAATATGTTCCCTGGAGTGCTTGGGGTAGAAGCAGGATTTCAAAGCTCCCTCTGCTGCCAGCGTGTCCTGGAGCTGTGCCGGTGGCTCTTCTGCCTACACACATGGTGGAACCTGCTCCCAACTTCCTGGTAGCATCTGGATTTGGGGCTTGGCCATGGGTACCGTGGTGGGACCCCAGTGCATACCAAAGCTCACTGAGAACAGTAGTGGGGTCATGCAAGCTCTCCTGCTCTCCTGGGCACCCTCAGAGTTATAGCCCTCCACCCCTCTTGCTGATGCACGTGGAGAGCCCAGAAGGTGAGGGTGATGTCTCAAACACGAACAGCTGTACAGCTGCAGAGCCAGCTGAGGGTTGTTGGGGCTGGAGAAGGGGCCCCAGGGAGGTAGGGCAGCACTGTCCTGGGACAAACATCCTTGCTGTGGCTCCTGGCAATAAGCACAACACAGCACAGCACAGGAGCGAGATGAAGCAGTGGCATGGACTGTAGAGGAATCAAGACCACAAAAGACCCCTGAAGCCTCTGACCCATTTCCAGAAATGTCTGGAAGAATGGACTGTGCATAAGAAGTGATTTGCAGAGAAGGTGAGAACTCCCAGAAGGCAAAACTTACCTATAAAAAGGTCCCCCCTGTAAGCACAGGCAGTGCCCCCAGGACCCTGACCCGTTTGTCATTCCTTTCAACCATGAGCCTCTATGAATCTTGGGTCCCTTCCCCTGTGGAGTGGGATGCTACACATAGAAACCACTGAGAAACACCTGGAGCCACTGGAGGAAAGGTCCAACACTCGCACAAAGATGAGGGTGAGAAGCAGATCCCCCTCAGCTGTGCTGCAATGCAGAGCATGCAGCCTCTGCTCTCACTGCAGCACTGGACTATGGTCCTTCAATATTAATTCCACATTATTCTATTCAAACCACAGTGGTGAAGAGCCCTGAGGAAGCTGTCTGGAGTGATCCAAGCCTCTCCACCAACGTGTCACGCTAACCAACACACAGTTCCTCCTCCAGCCAGTACATGCTTTGTCCTTGGCAGAGGAGCCCTGGGGCAGCAGCAGTGATGGACACCTGGATATGGGGTGGCATGGAGGGCAGCACCAGGGGACACCAGGAGCTTGGACAAGGAGATGCATGGGTGCTGCTCAAAGCAAACCCTTCATGGCTGCAGCCCCTCTGCCCAAGGCTGGCACATCCCAGCGTCACTGGCTGCGGGAGTGCTGCTCCTAGACAGGAGGGGCAGACCCTGCAGCGGCCACCCCTGGGCACAGGAGGGGACCTGTGAGCAGGGACACATGAGCTGGGACCCCTCACCTTTGTCTCCTTGATCTTGACGGCGATGACCTGCTTGCGCTGGCGGATGATCTCCATCAGCTCATCACACTCCTCCATCAACTTGGCCTCGTGCATGGCTGTGTTCACCTGGCCAAGAACAGCAGCGCACAGGTGTTGGGAGGGACACACAGGTGTTGGGAGGGACACAGAGCACACAGGTGTTGGCAGGGACACACAGGTGTTGGGAGGGACACAGAGCACACAGGTGTTGGCAGGGACACACAGGTGTTGGGAGGGACACACAGCATGCTCTCATGGCTGTGCTCACAGTGGGGCACACACAGAGTGCAGTGGGGGCACAAGCAGAGGTTCCAGTCCTCTGCCTCTAGGGAAGACCAGTATCCATGGGAGGATGGACAGGACAGGGCAAGGGAGAATGCACTTCATGGAAGAGGACTCTAGCCCTAGCACTGCATTAAAGCACACTACAGGACAGAAATCAGTTTTCCTCATTTTATACTCCAAATCCCTCTGAAACAAGGCAGCCTAGACTGAACCACATTTTTGCTACAGGGTCTTTTTTTAAACCTGGCCAGCAGATTATGCAACACTGGAGTGGGAGACAGCTGATGGTCTGCAAAGAGAGTTCCACTGAGGAAAAACAGTTGAAAATCTTCCCAATCTGCTGCATGTGGAGGGAGGGTGGGGAACAGCCCCAGGGTTTGGAGCCTGCAGCAAGCTGCTGCGGCACTGCTGCTGTGGCACTGCTGTTGTGGCAGAGCTGGCAGCACCCTGGTCCCTCAAAGCTGTGTGCCCACAGGGATGGCTGTCACCCCAACTTCCCAGGAGCACAAACCCGAAGCTCCTCTTTCAGCTTCTGGGACACATGAGGGTGAGGGAATTTGAGGCTGAAGGCTGTACACAGCAAGGGGCAAGAAAGAAATGTTGGGCCAAGGGACAGGAGGGGAGATTGGGGCACCTCAGCTTGGCCCTGGGTCCATCCCTCCAACCAGCTGCTGTCCAACAGTCCAGCTCAGGCCTGGACTGTTCCCCTTCCAGGATGGTTACAGGACAATGTAAATCTGTAGCCATCCACAGCCTGCCAAGGGCAAGAAATCTCCCCTCAATTATGTTGATGTTTAGGGGGGCTGAAGGCAGGTGAAGTTTCAAAGTACACCACAGTCCCTTTCCCAGCTGCCTTCTACCAAAACAGGAGCATTTTCAAGGCTGGGGTTCCCTCAAAGGGCCAGCAGAGCATGGAGGGAGTACTGCAGACCAGGACTGCTCCACTGGCAAAGCCCTGGCTCAAAAACACCTGGACACTGGCCACAGCACTCTGTATGGATGAAACAGCTCCCAGGTAAATGCTGGGTTTGGGGGTGAACACTCAGCAGGTGCTATGGCTGCAGGAAAGCTGGGCAGCTTTTAGTTGTAAAAAGGGAGAGAAAAAATATTTCACCCACCTAAGTGCTGGGGGAAAATGTGCTAGGGACAACAGTCCTGGAATAAACCAGCTCTGTCCTGCACCTCTTGGGAATGAGAAGCAGCATCTCAGCCCACAGCCTGACTCACACGCAGGCAAGCCTCCTCCCGGCAGCTCGGGGATGGAGCAGAGGACTCCATCCTACCTCCACAGTCCTCAAGAGGATTTTGGCTGTGTAGCAGCTGTGCCCTGGGGACACCAGGAGCTCACACTGGGGCTGCTGTGACACAGTCCCACGGCACACCTGCAGCTTCTGCTCTCCCCACAATGGGACATTGGGCTGGTACTATCCCTGTTTTACAAACTCAGCTTCTCTGGAGGGTTGTTATCTGCCCTCCTTGGTCCACATTTCCTTCACTGCCAGAGGATTTGGCCATTTCAACCTCTCTCAGTACAGCCTCCCATGCACCAGAGTCACTCTGAGGGGCAGCACAGGCTCAGGGCCTTGAGGACACTTGCAGTGCCCTTCTCTGGGGTTCTTCTCTCTGCCCTTCTCACCCCTGTCCCTCAAGGTGTTGGTGGCACCATTCTCTGGACATGCCATGAGATTTACACTGGATATTTCTGGGGGGCAGAGTACATGGGAATTGCCTGTGTGCCATGTCTGCAAATATCTCAGAAGCAAAATTCCCTAGAATCAGATTGATGGAGAGCACAGATATTTTCTCTTTCACAGTTTACTGTGCTCTCTGTGAAGAGGCCTCCAAGGGCCTGGCTGTGCATTCAACATAGCTGAGAAATGTTATTTGAACTGTTATTTTAAGCAGAGCATCTGACAAAGCTGAAAACTCACAAACTGTGTCAAAAATGACAGCTTAGAGGTCTCAGACTCTGAGGATCAGACAGAAATACCAAATATCTTTCAATTTATCCTATGTCAGGTCATTAAGACATTGGAGCTGGATTCAAAGGAATCCAGGACATCCAGCCACATCCCTGCTCCATCTCTGGTGGGTTCTCAGAGCCAAAGCATGGCCCATCAGAACAGCAAGGGCTGCTGACTGCCACCAGAGCTCTGCAAGGGCATCCTGGCTCCTTCTCTCTCTGCCAAACATCCCTGCCATCTGTATTCCCAGATCAGTCCAAGCCCACTGAGCCCTGGGGAAGAGGAAGCCCAGGAGAGACCACTCCAACAAAGCCATTCCTACTGCAGAGTGATGCTCTGGCAGAGAGAAGCAGGACAACATCAGTGACACAAAAGGCAAGCAGTGCTGCAGAGCCAAGTGGGATTTTTCTGCTCCTTATTTTGGCTGGAAGTTCAGAGCATCTCAGCCCCCTCCTCCTTCTCTTTGCACGTTGTGTCAGTGGCTGCCAGCTGCTGGCAGCACATTCGGCCCTGCTGGCATTCACAAAAAGGGCTTCTGCACTCACTTCCTCTTGCCAGATCATCAGGACATTATTGAAGGAGTGAAGAACAAAGTGCTGATGCTGCCTGCAGAAACCACAGGGTCTGAAGCACCTTCACGGCCCCAAACCCCAGCTGCTCTGAGATTCAGGTGGTGAAGGACAAGCTGCAGCTCCCTAGGCAAAGGCATCATAGATGCTCTGCTGTGGGCAAATGGCTCCACCCTGCACAGGAGGATCCCTTGTCCTGCTGCAGCATCCCTACATCCTGCTGCAGCATCCTTGCATCCTGCCACAGCATCCTTCCATCTTACCCACAGCATCCTGAGGCAACATCCCCACATCCCACCACAGCATTCCTGCATCTTGCTGGGCCCATGGGATGGCTTGGGGGAGTGCAGGGGAGGCACAGGACTTGCGCACCCTGCAAGGCCTGGGGTGCTGTGGGTGAAGTAAACAATTGTTGTGTTCTCTCAGGCACTGGCAAACTCCCCCTGAATCCATGGCTGGGATCCTGGCAGCAGCCTGGGGTTCAGTCCTGAGGGAAGCTGGTGGGTCAAGGAATTGCTGCATGCTCAGTGTCACCCAGCTGATGAGCCTTGTTACAAGCTCAGTGTCACCTGGCTGAGCCCTGTTTTCACACTCAGTTTCACTCAGTCTTCCACCAAAAGCAGCTGCTGCCCCCAGCACAGAGCAGCAGGCAGGTCCTCCTGCCTGGAGCCAGCTCAGCAGCCCATGTCTCTTCTCAGTGGCTCCCAATCATGACAACTCCTTCGGACCCCTGGGAACCATCCCTGTGTCCTCCACTGCTTGGGACTACCCCCCCACACTCATCTCTGCTTACAGGGAAGCCCCAGGAAAGGACTCTGGGGTGATCCATGCATTGCTCCCCTAGAGCTGGGAGCTGCCCCGGGCACCTCCCCCAGCCCCCCTGGTCCTCACCCACCTCCACTTGCTGGCAGATCTGTATCAGCTTGGCCATCTGGTTTTCCAGTTCGCTGTTGCGTTTAACCAGGTTGGTGAGATTTGTCTCCAGGGTTTGCTGCAGGTCCAGAAATGGGAGAAAGAGGAAAAATAGAGATCAGCAAAGCTGGAGTGTCCCCAGTCCCCTGCCAGCAGCTGAGACCCTCTGCCACCAAGCACACTGCTTGAGGGAGGGACACTGGAATAACCTTGGGCAAAGGCTCTGTGGGTCCTCAGCAGCTCCTGCCTGTGCCAGGGGGCTGTGCCATATGGGAGAGCCCAGCACTGCGGTGACCCTGGGCTGTCACTAGCTGGACAGGACAGCATGGGCGTCTGCCCTTTGCCACTCCTTTGGAGAGCAAATTTTGACTATTTTCATCATCAATTTTGTTCTGCACAGGGTGAGGGAGATGAACAAAAGCCTGATGAGCCATGGGAGAGGGATGTCTTCTCTGCCAACCACTCCAGCTGGAGCTACAATGGCACAGGCAGGGAGAGCTCAGCTGCACTGTGCTGGCTTTCATTCCCCAGCCATGCTGCCCTTTGCTCACCAGAGCAGATCTCAGCCAGCAGATCACAGCCAGTGGATCTGGGCCAGAAGATTATGAGCAGTGGATCATGGCCGGTGGATCCCAGCCAGCAGCTCTTGATCAGGAAGTCATGACCAGCTCATGGCCAGCAGATCTCTGCCAGCAGATCATGAGAGGACAGGGATGCAGGGCCTGCTCTGGTGCCCACAGGCTGCACTGCTCTGGGAGAAGGAGGGGATCCAGTGAGGAACCAATGAAGACCTCATTTGAGGGGATATTGATACCTGTGGCCATGGGGGGAACACAGTTTCTGGGTGTTAACAATTTCAGAGACACAGCATTGCCAGTTCCACGTGCTCTGCTAATGGGAATGCTTTACAACAAAGCACTTGCTACTTGTTGCAGTGCTTGTCAGGAAATGATATCCTATTAATATTTTAAACTCCAGGGCTGGAAGAGGGTCCCTGAGGTGGTTCATTCATCTGCAGGTAGGAACTGCAGTCTGAGGCTTTCATCTGACTCCAGCAGGCCCATAAACACGGCCCCTCTCCGTACACATGGGTAATTGGGGGCTACTGAGCCAGAAGAACTTGAATTACAGGCACAGAGCACAGGCAGAGCACTCATTCCTGAAAAACCACTGGCTCCTAAAATATCCCAAGCTCGTTTGCAACCCTGAAAATTGCTGGCCAAGGGCAAGCAAGGCAGAATACAGGAACAGGCTGGAGAAATGGAATAAAACCCAGAGAGCCTTGGTTATGCCAGAAGGGTTTGCAGAGTGGGGCTGTATGGATAATGGAAAAGCCAGCTGCTCCCACCCCCCTCTCCTCATAACCCAATATTATAAACATCATTTCACTACAGCAACGAACATTTCACTTGCTAATTACCTCATCACCAGTGTGGCTGCACTGAGGTTGCAGCTTTGAACTTGCACCGATCTGCTTTAATCTTCCAGGCTGTGATGGAGGGCAGGGCGGGGGGCTGGGGTACAGCTTTGAAGCACGCGTGCCCACACCCCATTTGCAGCATCCCAAGTTTTCTAGGGGATGGCATCACTCCTCTCATCCACAAACACACACAAAGCCCGTCCCTGAGCACCAATCCCTTCATCACACATCCTCTGTGCAATGCTGAGGCAATCAGAGGTGCTATACTGGTGTCAGCCATGGTTCCACAGCCCTTTGCTGCTCCCCTGCCCCTCAGTGCACCCACAGACCCTCGCTGCCAACCCCTCTGCTTCTCAGGAAAACATAGATGGAATGTTTCCATCTGTATGATGTGCTGAAATTAATAAAATAGGCTTGAAGCCTGGATCACACCAGCTGGTTATTTTGTAGTATATATAAATTGCAGCAATTACAGGGGTTGGGTTTTAATTGCTTTATAAAATGCCCGTCATTTCCCCAAACCTCCACCTTCTCTCCTGAAATACCAATAGGTGATTTCTCTACAACTGGGGAGACAAGTGAGAAAAAGTGATAAAAGGCCTTGAGCAGGAGTCACTGGTGCTGAAAGGGGAGGAGGGCCTGGGTCACCCAGGGACAGCAGGACCAGAGAAGGAAGTACCCAGGCATCTTGGGACAGGGGCTGAGCCTCCCCCATGCCGAGTGTCAAGGACCCACAGGATCAAACCCTCCCACAACTCCAGCAGAGCAGCTCAGCACCTGCACCAGATACAGAATAAATCCATTCCCACTCCACCAGAGGAGAGTAATCACACAGCACTGACCTGCAAGTACCAGTGCTCATGTTTCTTCAGTTATGGGCACAATGGGACACAACTCTTTTTCCTCCAAATACCAAACAAGGAGTTGAACTAAACTAAAGATTTATTTCTCTGTTAGAAGAATCCATCAAGGTTGCAGGCTCAAGACAACTTCAGGAAGTATAAATACATGGTGTCCTCCTGGTCCCTGTTCTTCATCAAACACAACCTTCCCTGTGCCTGGTCCCAGTTGCCCTCCATGGCCGGTTCCCGGCCCATCCACCAGTCTGGCAGCTGGTTCACTCTGAGAAATGCTGTCAGCCTTGTGGCTTTAACCAGCTGAGAGATGGAACAGAGCAGGCTCTGAGCCCCAAACAGGTGGCCAAAGAACAGGCTCCCCACATGTCACACAGACCTGAGGGGAGTCCAAGTCCCCAGGGGTTTTGGGCCATGCAAGCCTCAGATCTCCTCCAGTGGCATGAACTTGTGGGTGTGGGATGGGAGGACCTGGAGAACCCTGGAGCTGGGGAAAGCCCTAGGAATGCAGGGGTGGTGGGTGTCTGCTCCATCCCTCAGCAAGGCTCTGAGGGTTGAGAGATTCAGCCTGGCACAATGGCAGGGAGGGTGTCTTTTGGCTCTGCCTTACCCCAGAGAGGTTTCTGCATTTATCTTCATGGGAAGGCAGCCAAAACTGGAGAGTGATACTTCCAGTGATTTACTCAGGGCTTTTCTCATTGCCTCTGTTCATCTACAATCACTTCCAGTAATGGAGGTGAATCCCTGCCCCGATCCTCCTGCGCACCACAAACACATATCATGTGTGCATCCACAAACCATGTGCAGGCACACAGGCACCAAGTCAAACCCACCTCAAAATGCATGCCAAAGTGTCAGGAAAACCAGCTCCTGGAAGCCACCAGTATTCCCCAGCCTCACCTGGACAGGGCAGGGAATGAGCCCTCGCAGCCCATCGGGATCGCTGCCACGCTGGGGACGCACAGTCAAGCCCTCGGGGCTGAGGATGTGCTGCCAGGTCCCAGCACGGGGCACGATTCCTGCTGGGTGTCCTCTGACTTGTTTTGGAGCAGCACAGGGAAGCCAGATGTCACCAGGACATTGCCCAGGGCATCAGGAGTCTGCCATGGAGCTCCGGAGGGAGTTGCTCACTTTTTAAAACCCCAACGTTGTTGATAGCAAGAGACATTTGTAATCGCATTGGAGCTGTGGGAACCTCCACCTATGTCCCTGTTCCTGGCCAAAACACTGCTCTGCACTGAGCTCCTGCCCCAGGCACCCACTGTAGGGATGATGGAACTGATGTGGTTTGTCTCAGGAATGCTGGGATAGCTTTCTGGGAAGCAGCAGCTGGACAGGGTAATCTGCAGGTAGCTCCCACCAGGGTCATTCCAACCCCATCTGCTCTGGGGGGATTTTGGAGCAGGACAGTGACAGTGGGGTTGGTACAGCATCCTCTCACTCCACTGGCAGCTGCCTCTGCACTGCCAAACTAAAATCACAGAAGTTTGGAAGGGACCATAGAGCTCATATCATAGAACCCCATCTTCCACTGTCCCAGAGTGCTCCAAGCTCTGTCCAACCTGGCCTTAGACACTTCCAAGGCATTGACAGCACTGCACAGATCAGGCTCCTCTCAGTGGCCACAGCAGGTCCAGAGCCTGGCATTGCTCCTGCGCCAGCAGATGCTCCCACTCCCACCTCCCATGGCTGTACAGAGGGCTCACCACAGCACTGCTCACTGCCAGCCCTGGCAGCAGCACATCCAGGTGATTCAAACTGGAAGAGGGGAAATTTAGGTTGGATACATGGAAGACATTCTTCCCTGGGAGGGTGGGCAGGCCCTGGCACAGGGTGCCCAGAGCAGCTGTGGCTGCCCCTGGATCCCTGGTAGTGTGCAAGGCCAGGTTGGACAGGGCTTGGAGCAACCTGGGATAGTGGAAGGTGTCCCTGCTCAGGAAAAGGGGTATAACAAGATAAGCTTAAAGTCTCCTTTAAGCCAAATCATTCTGTGATTCCACAATTCTATGTTTAGTTAAATTCCCACCACCAAGAAAAAAAAAAAAAAAAAAAAAAGAAAAAAACTTTGGGGAAAAATATGCAAAGCCAGTCAGCTACCAGGCTTTAGTCAGAGAATGTCCCTAGACAATGGCACAAGTGACAAAGGGACAGGACTGGGCTGCCATGTGTGACATTAATGCATTTTAAGTCACTTTGGAGCCAAACAGACTGAGTAAGAGCTGAAACTTCTGCCAGCATTTGGGGCTGCTGTCACCCACTGGCAGAGCTGACCTAGAAACCAAGTGGCTCTGCACAGCATGGGGGTGGGGGGGCTCTGATGGTGCTGAAGAGTCAAGAGCCAGAGCCTGAGCCAGGCAAAGGGACTCTGGCAGTGACCCTGGCATGGAGGGGATGGGAACCAGGGGGATGCACTCGACCAACACACACCTGAGGGTGCGGTGACTAGCCCCATGTCCCCTGATCAGTGTGAGCAATAAAAAAGCAGCTCCAAATCCATTAATCAGGTTTAATCCCTGATGATCTATTAGGCTTAAACTCTGACTTGCTCTTTCTACGCTCACCTTCAGTTGGGAAGCAGCTCTGGAGGGAAGCTCCCTGTGGGGAGCAGGGCTGGGGATGCAGGTGGCACATGGGTAGGTTTGTCACAGCAAGGGCTCCCAGCCACATGCACCATGAGACCTATGGCAGGAGTCACCCATGCTACCTGGGCTCACAGTGCTCCAGCCATGTCCCCAGTGCCCAACTTGGGGGTGGCCCCAGCCTCTTCACCTCACAGAAAGCACAGGGTAATCCCAGCCTGGCAAG